TTGATATCTTTTGATGTGAAAATTTTGAAAGTTTTGTATATTTTGATTGCTTGTCGTGCTAATCCTTTCTTCTCTTTATAGGCATTTTTGTATTTTTATTTAAATCATATTTTGTATTGAATTATATTGCATTACTTGTGTTGAAATTATATTGTATCTTCGTATGTCCCGCGTGCGCATGGTCATGGAATTTCGGGCATTCGGTACTTTGATGAAGTGATCGCATAATTGACGCATTTTGGCTGATGATATTCAGCGAATTTCGCGTATTGCTTGGGTTACGTTTGCTCCAGAATTACGCTATAGGATTTTTGCGCTGTCTTCCGGTTATTTAGCATCCGTGATTGCGTTTCGTTGCTGGTACGGTTTCTAGCGGACGTAATCGCGAAAGGCGGCGGAAAAATTTTCTTATCTTTATTAAAGATTAGCGGAGCCTTTCGTGCGCGTTCCTCGAACTTCCTACTCGCGTGCAAATAGTTGATCAGAGTATTTTGAGGAGCTCACGGCACGTATTGGCTGTCGATCTTTTGCTCCTATATCGAGCCTTTTGATCGGTCGGCTCGCGAATCAGAATTTTTTTTTCTTCCTCCCTCTCTTTGAAATTTCCTTCGCGATGTCGAAATTAAAGTGGATTGACGAGCTGTCGGCGGCCGAGTTGAAAACCGAACTAGAGAAATGCGCTTTGCGATTGGAGGGTACCGAAACTATCATGAGGGCACGTTTTGCGCGGCATGAGCGGTACCAGACTCTCGGCCTAGACCCCACGCACTCGCCTACGTATAGCGAATTGAAACTTTTTTGGCTCCTCTCGAGACCGGGACTATGAGACCGGATAGCCCCAGCGAGCGGTTCGACATGGGGGCCGGGTTACGTAGAAACCTCCATCTCGAGGGAGCGGATCGTGCGACCGCGCGACGGCCAGGTTATCCAAGCGTCGCGCCTCCTCGCGTTCAGTCACGATTTACGCCATCCCTGCTGTCGGAGGAGGACCGCGCGGTCGCGCCATCGGGAAATAGCCGCCCGTTTAACCGGAGTACGTCGGCCGTGATGGACGTATATAACATCATGCAACGATGGAATTTAAATTTCACGGGGGCGCGCAGGAGTGACGCGGAAACGTTTCTCATGCGAATCGAGGAGGGACGCGCGTTGCTACCGGTTAGAGACGAAGATTTATTGAAATCTTTGCCATTTTTCTTATCGGGTACCGCGTTGTACTGATTCCGTCATAAACAAGCGGAGTTGCACTCGTGGCGAGAGCTCGTTGCCGCGTGGCGCGCCCGGTTCAAAATCTCGGATTTTCAGTTCGCATTACGAGATGAAGCTGCTCGGCGGACTCAGGGAAAACATGAGCCTTTCGCGGAGTATCTCACATATATGTTAGCTCTTTTTGATCGCATGAGCCCGCCGTGGAGTCTGGATGAACAGCTTGGGTACGTGTATCGCAATATGCTGTCGCGCTATAGGACCGCGGTAGATCGTGAGGACATTCATGATTTCGCGACTTTGGAGTGTCGAGTGACGCGCGTGGAAAGAAGTTATGAGGCCGCCAAAACGCATCGCGCGCCTCCGATCGCGGAACAGTCCATCTTTCCCGAACTGGCATACAGGCCACCGAAAAAAGAGCAGCGAACTGCAACGGTTGCAATTGCTGCCGGCGTTGATGCGCGCGGACCGCAGAAGAGGAAGGCGTCCGGAAAATCGCGTAAAAGCACGGCGACCGCAATCCCTGCAGCCGATCCGGCAACCGAGACGACCACCGTCGCGACGACTGCAGGTTCGCGCGTTAACATCAAATGTTGGAATTGCGAGAAAACGGGACACGTTGCACGCGAATGTAAAGAACCGCAGCGCTTGAATTGCTACTGCTGCGGGAAAGTGAATTTCACCGTCAAGACGTGCCCCTGTCACGTCTCAGTGACTTACTTTTCCCCTAGATACCTCGGTTCTAGAGTAAAGTGCGCTCTCTTTATTTTCAAGGCAACCTGCTTACACCGGCTATACCTTGGGGATGCCGAGAGCGAGGATCTGACTTATCAATAACGGAAAAAATTGTGGAAGCCGCGAAATTTTAAGATGAGATAAATTGATTGAGTAGGATGAAGTTATATACGTGTATAATAAATATCTATTAGAATGGAATTTCAAAATTCTCTATCAAATACATTAATTGATCGATATCAATATCACCTGAGATATATTGAGCTATGAACTCTAATAAGATTTCGAGGATTTGAGTTTGTTCATCGGTTGTTAACGCGAAAAAATCTTTATCATTACAAGAAGGCTTCATTGAAGAGTCTGTAGGTAATTCTCTATTTCATAGTGGCTTTCTGGTAGCTGATATTTTAGTTGATTTATTAGATCTCCCTGTTCAGAGGACGGGCTTTCAGTGATATCTTTATATTTGATGATCTCTAGTCTAGAAGTAATAGTTGTAGAAAGAGTCAAACTCTATGTTTGTAGTGATAGATTGATAGAATTTCTGTGATATAAAATTTAGAGGTAAATAAAAGAGAAATTTAGCTTTGTTTTTTACAGCAGATATAAAACTTTCAGGGAAAAGTCCCTTCTAACGGATTTTACGTAACTAAGATTCGAGTTTGCCTTTATTCTTTGATATCGACGGAATCGAGAGATATCACGATATTCTCTGGTTATTTTTCCCGCTCTATGTCTTTTCTTTTTAGAATTTAGTTGTGAGTTCACCATTGATTGAGGAAATTAGTGGATATTCTCTTTTGTTGATGTTACTATCTGATTAGCGTCAGCTCAAGTGATCGAATTTTACAATAACGAAAAAGATATATTTCTTTTTATTTAGTTCAACTAAAACGTCAGTAATTTACAAGGATATGGATGTCTCCGGCATGACGGAGGATGCCCGGGGACGACGGGACTCTTAAGGTGGAGTAACGTTAGGATGACAACGTTTGTATAAGGAAATTAGGATGCATCCGGCATGACAGAGGATGCCCGGAAGCGACAGGAAAAGGGAGAGAGAACAAGAAGGTTTTCAGGCGGCACCGAGAAGATGCTGTTTCCCTGTATGAGGAAAGACGTTGAGTTGAATGCAGTAGATTATATAATTTCAAATTTCGTTTATATATTCCGTGAAACGCCGATTAACGAATTAATTTAGGAAATTAGGATGCCTCCGGCATAACAGTGGATGCCCGGAGACGATGGAAATCTGGGGTCGGCTAAACTAATAATGAATCCTTTTGGAGTAAAAACAGGAGAATGCAGAAGTCTCCGGCATGACAGAGGATGCCTGGAGAGATCTTAAAGGAAGGAGGTACTCGACGCTTAACGGATGAAAGCTATATAATTTTAATTAATGATTATCTTGACGCTTGCCAGAATAAAATGATAAGGTATTACGATTTTATGCTGATTAGGAAAGGAATACTATCAGCAGCATGCCGGTGCTTGACAGTATTATTATTTATTCATTTAATCTTCTATTTCTTGTTTCAGGAGGTATAATGAATGCAAGGAAGGTGAACGAACAATTGAATTTTAAAACGAGAGATTAAAATAAAGAATATGAAAGAATCTGGTACTTACCACCCCGAGATGAAATTCTGTTGATTGTAGTCGCCTTCGTATACGGGAGATCTGGGTCTTTCCAAAAAATGGACACGGTAGATATGTACAATTATAGCTCTTTATTCGAAGTCCACCGAGAGGAATAGCAAATTGACAAAAGTTAATTTAATTATTATTAATAGCTAGGATATACGAATAATAGCGACATTTGACAAAATGACTGGTAACAAGTCCTTCCTACTGAATGATTATTATTACTACTGTGTTTCGCGCCCGAAATCCGGGGTTTATATACTGGTAATTCCTTTGTTACTTGCATGATCTTTTGCTAAAAGAATTCTCGAGTAACGTGATCTCTTCATCGGACCACGTCGTACTCGGAAGCACCACCGAATTTCTTATCAATTGTTTAGACATAGATATCTTTTCATTGAAACGCGGCGGTGATCAAAGGGTAACGCGTGAATTTCATCGGAGGTGTCGGTTGACGTCTCCGAAAAGTCGATGTTTGACATATTTATGACTTCCTCTTTGATTAGCTCGCGCAAAAGTTATTTGTTCTTGTTCGAAATTAAAATTATCATTCTAGTTCAAAAATCGCATAGCGAAATCTGCATGTTTTCGCTAATAAATAATCGAGAATTCAAAATTAACGGGCGTCGAGAATCTTCTCGAAATATCTGTTTGTTAGAAAAAAACTCGAACGCTCGAGTTATCTCGTTTTTTTTCCACCAGAAAAAACGCTCGTTGTTACCGCAGACAATATTATTTGTCAACCGCCGTTAAGATTTGCGCCGCTCATGGGCATGCGCGCCCATGCGTCACGATCAGCTGATCGCCAATCAGCTGATCTGAAAAGATTGCGCGCATGAAAAATAAATTGTGTACGACACAAGGCGTCATTACCAACCAATGACACACGCCGCAATAGTGTCACCGCCAAATTATCAAATTAATTGGTCCACGTCGACGCGGGCCCAAAAATCCGCTCGCTTTATAACGGGCGCCGCGCGTGGACCAAAGAAAGTCTCGCACTTATCGCTGCTCACAGTACGTTTAAAACCGCTTAGAAAACCGCCTTGTTCAACCGCAAACTACGTCGACCGCTTTGTTTCTCGGACTTCTCTGTACGATTTCGGTATCTGAAATTCATGTTCATTTGCTTTATTGTATAAATTGTTAATAGTGTGGTGTTAAAATAAACAACCTCAAAAAAAAACCAAAAAGAATTACGTGTCGTGGCAAGTCTTTTATATCAAATTATCTGCTCGCGGTCATCCATCTGCCGCGTTTTCAAACGTTGCGCTGTCGCAGCAATCCGCGCTCACTCGCGAACATTTCTGGTCCTTCGAGCCGGATTATATCCGCATCCGCAGTTTCGCGGGTGACGTTTCCAGTGCTGTGTAGTGCTGCCAGTCTCCTGAAACAGACAAACAGATAAGTGAACAATGAGTGCCGACCTGAAGGCCTTGTTAGAGGCTCAGACCGACATCCACGGACGAATGTCTCGCTCCGTGGATAACCTCCGGAAGATGGGCGTCACCAACATCACCGCCGGTGCCATCCAGGCTCGCCTCACCATCCTCGACAACCTCTGGGCGAAATTCGAGGCTCAACACGAGCTGATACGAGCGGCGCTTAAAGACATACATGGAGAGTGAGTACGCCAAAAGTGACTTCATAGATACCGCGGAATGTACGTACGTTTCTCAGCGAAGCACGTTGAGCGACTACGCTGACAGGCTAAGGGCCGAGTCAGTTGTCGCACCAAGGATAGAGGCGAAGTCGGAGTCTTCTCCCAAAACCGCGTTGCCGCGTATAAAATTGCCGCCGTTCTCGGGCGCCTACGAAGACTGGCCTTCCTTCTGGGACCTCTTTTTATCCCTCGTAGGAGAAAATCCGTCGGTCTCGAACATTGAGCGGTTCCATTACCTTCGCTCCTGTGTGAAGGGATCTGCGGAGAAATTGATTCGGTCATTAACGGTTACAAGCGAGAACTACGACCGCGCGTGGGCGATCTTAACAAAACATTTTGAGAATAAAAAGAAGCTCATGCGCTCAAACTTTGCTACCTTTACCGCCGTCGGGAAAATGAAGTCCGAGTCCGCCGAAGAGCTAAGCCGTGTCCATCACGCCGTCACGGCCACCGTCAACGCGCAGGAGAGCATCGGTAGACCCATCAATTCCCATGGGATGGATCTCCTCAATCAATTGGTAATCGAACTGTTCGATCCGCGAACGCGCCTCGAGTGGGAGTCTTCCACCAGCGATTCTCCCAATCCACCGAATCACGAGGCACTCACTGACTTCATAAGCAAAAGGATTCTTATCTTGAACGCCGCCAAACCCAAGATCGCCGTGAAGAGTGCGGGGGAAGCCTCTCGGACCGCGAAGTCTCACTTCGCGAAAAATGTGCCCGACGCGTCCAAATGCGCCGCCTGCAAGGGCAAGCACACGCTCATGCAGTGCCCCGAGTTTAAGTCCAAGTCCGCGAGCGAAAGGAAGTCCTTCGTTGAGGTCAGCGGATTTTGCTTCAATTGTCTCGGGAACCACATGATGGCACGCTGTCAGTCCATTAAAACGTGCTTCACGTGCAAGTCGCGGCACCACACGCTGTTGCACGATGCGTACACGGCACCAACACCACACGAAGCGAGCACTTTCTCCACGACACGCAATTCAATCGACAAACGGGCGACTCTTCTCGCCACAGCGCGCGTCACACTCGCCGACTGGCTGGGACGGCCTCAGGATGTGCGAGCCCTGCTCGACCAGGGATCCGAAGTGTCTCTCGTCTCGGAGGACTTGGCGCAGCGCCTCCGTCTGACGCGCACCCGCTCCTCGATGTCCATAATTGGAATCGGAGGAGCATGCTCAGGATCCACACGAGGAAGGGTTACGCTCGCTCTCAAGTCAACAGTGACTGGAGCCCCCCTCACCGTAGCTGCCTACGTCTTTCCACGACTGTCTTCTTACCAGGGGCCAGCGATCAAGGGCTCCACCACGTGGCCACACATACACAGCCTCACTCTGGCGGATCCGCACTATCTCCAGCGAGACCCCATCCACCTTCTCCTCGGCGCTGATGCCTTCTCCGGGATCCTCCTCGAAGGTCTCCGTAAGAGTCGCAAGGATCAACCCATCGCGCAGAGGACCACGTTTGGGTGGATATTATCAGGAGGCTGCGGAGTCGTGACGGCCAACGGCTCCCTCAGCTCCCTCCAGTGCACCGTAGACCACGACCTGAACGCTCTAGTGCAGAGGTTCTGGGAGCAAGAACAGGAGCAGCCCGCATCCGTCGTGCTCACGCCAGCCGAAGAGCGATGCGAGATCTTCGCTCGCACTCATGAGCGCCTCGCCGACGGAAGGTACATGGTCCGTCTTCCGCTGGCTGACCCTCTTCCACCTCTCGAGCACACGCGGAAGTCCGCCGAGCGATTTCTTACGGCAATGGAGCGACGCCGTTCCAGAGACGCCGGCTTCAACCAGCTCTATGACAGCTTCATGGAGGAGTACTCAGACCTGCAACATATGACCCTGGTCAAAACACCGCTCATCAAAAGATCCGTGTGTTACTTACCGCATCACGGAGTGCTCCGGACTTCCAGCACGATCACCAAGTTGAGAGTGATCTTCAACGGATCTCAATGTACGCCTGCCGGAGACTCGCTCAACAACGCATTCCTGGTCGGAGCCAATCTTCTGCCAACTCTCGCCGACGTCCTTCTGCGTTGGCGCTGGCACCGCTTCGCCTTCATCGCCGACATCGAGAAGATGTACCGGCAGATCCTGGTACATCCCGACGATCGAGACCTGCAGCGGATCTTATGGAGGCGACTATGCACCGATGACATCCAGGAGTATCGCCTCAACATGGTGACATACGGACTGGCCTGTGCACCGTTCCTGGCGATCAGGACTCTCCGCCAATTAGCCGACGATGAGGAGCCGGCAAACCCGGCGGGAGCAGTGGCGTTAAGGCGCGATTGTTATGTCGACGACATCGTCACAGGCGCCAGCACCCTGTCCGAGGCAGTCGAGAAGCAGAGGCAGTTACGCCGACTCTGCACGGCGGGCGGGTTTCCCTTGAGGAAGTGGGCCTCAAGTCACCAGAGGATCCTCGAGGAGATACCACGGGAGCATCAACTCCAGCAGCCACACCACGACTGGGAGGACGAAGCGCATCCGACGCTTGGGTTACGGTGGCACCCCCGCAGCGACTTCTTCACTTTCCGCCTCCAGCCTCGCACGATCGCCGCGCTAACTAAACGACAGGCGTTGTCGGAGACGGCTCGAATATTCGATCCTTTAGGCTGGTTAGCTCCAGTCACCGCTCGTGCCAAAATCCTCATCCAGTCGGCATGGATGAAGCAGTTGGATTGGGACGCCCCACTGCCTCAATCAGATGAGACGCTGTGGAGACGTCTGCTTGAGGATCTTCCGCTGTTGGAGCAGCTCCGGCTGCAACGATGGCTGAAGGCCGATAACCAACCGAATCACGTTGAGCTCCACGGGTTCGCTGACGCGTCAGAGCGAGGTTACGCAGCCGTCGTGTACCTCCGCGTGGTGAGCTCCTCCTCGACCACGATCAGCCTGCTTGCTGCAAAAAGCAAAGTTGCACCCATTAAGCCCGTGTCTCTACCGCGCTTGGAATTGTGCGCTGCAGTCTTAGTCACTAACCTGACGTTTCATCTTTGCGACGCCTTAGACTTATTTTCAGCTCCAGTTACTCTATGGTCGGACTCCCGGGTCACTCTTCAGTGGATACAAGGACACGCCTCGAAGTGGAAAACCTTCGTGGCCAACCGGGTGTCCCACATCCAGACGAAACTTCCGGAGGCACGCTGGCGACACATCCCAGGGCGAGACAACACCGCCGACTGCGCCTCTCGGGGGATTGAGCCCCGGGACCTGCTCAACCACTCCCTCTGGTGGACGGGACCCCCATGGCTCGACAAGGATCCAGCGTTCTGGCCACAGCACGACTACGCCACACGCGACGTCGAGGTGCCGGAGACGAGAGCAATCGCCTCCCACTTGACGACCGCGGAGAAAGCCGAACCGGAGATGCTCCTCAGGTTCTCCGAGCTCTATCGCCTCCTGAGGGTCACCGCCTGGTGTTGCCGATGGCGAGGCAACCCACCAAGCTCGAAGGCTCACCCCAATCTCACGCCTGACGAGCTAGAAGAAGCCCTGCTCCTCTGGCTCCGTCTGGTGCAAACTCTCCATTTCTCCAAGGAGATCGCAGCCCTAAAACAAAACAAAGAGTTAGTTAAGGGTCCAATATCGAAATTAACCCCCTTCCTCGACGATCATGGGATTATTCGAGTCGGGGGCCGGCTGAAGCACGCCGTGCTCTCAGAAGATGAACGCCATCCGATGATCTTACCTCCAGAATCGTGGATGACGCAACTCCTCGTCAAGGCACACCACAGACGAACGCTTCACGGCGGGGTTCAGCTCATCCTGGGACTGCTTCGCCTGCGGTACTGGATTCCCCGAAGACGCGCCATCGTTAAAGGAATCATCCACCGATGTGTCACGTGTGTGAGATGGAAGGCCGCAGTACCTCATGATGAGCAACTTTCCGACGGCACGAGTCGCACCGGCACGGCCATTCCTGCGAACCGGTGTTGATTATGCCGGGCCGATTCTCATCCGGACCGGAAAGGGAAGAGGTCACAAGTCACACAAAGGATTCATCGCCGTCTTCATCTGCTTCGTCACCAAGGCCGTTCACTTGGAGGCCGCTTCGGACTACTCCACGGATGCATTCCTCGCTGCGTTCCGGCGCTTCACTTCCCGTCGGGGCTTGTGCAAGGAAGTCTACTCCGACTGCGGCACCAATTTCGTCGGAGCGGACCGAGAGCTGCGACGCCTGTTCCAGGCATCATCATCCGACGGCCGACGCATCGCTCACGTTGCAGCATCCGACGGGATCCGGTGGAGATTCAATCCACCGGCAGTACCTCACTTCGGCGGGCTTTGGGAGGCGGCGGTGAAATCAACCAAACACCATCTGCGAAGGGTCCTTGAAGACACGACCCTCACCTTCGAGAAGATGTCGACGTTCCTCGCTCAAGTGGAGGCGTGCCTCAACTCGCGTCCGCTTCAAGCACTATCGGACGATCACGACGACGTAACGGCACTCACACCAGGACACTTCCTGATCGGGGCCCCTCTGCTGGCAGTGCCTGAGCCCTCGCTGGCGGACGGCAGCCTCAGTCTTCTGCCCCGTTGGAAACTCCTCCAGCGGATGCGCGACCACTTTTGGGAGAGGTGGTCACGGGAGTACATCAACTCCTTGGCATCCCGACCGAAATGGCTGAAGGACTCAGCCAGTCCTACCGTCGGCGCCCTGTGTCTCGTGCGGTCGGACTCAACGCCGCCGACCCGATGGTCACTCGCCCGGATCACCCGGCTGCATCCTGGGGACGACGGCGTGACACGCGTAGTCACTATACGCACCGCATCTTCGGAGCTTGTCCGGCTTCTCACCAAGACCGTCCTCCTGCCTGGAGCCGACACCACAGCACCAACGCACCCGGATTCGTGAGCGAAACGGAGTACCGTGTTTTATTTTAATTTATTTTATTTTCTTTATTAATAAATTGTCCGTCCACGGAATTGTTTATCTCGGCCGGAGCCGTGCATTGTCCGACAATCGCACCGCGCACTCAACTTCTCGTTCACTTTTTTTTCGAACTTCGCGTCACAACCTGCACTCACGCATCACCACTGCACTTCACTTGCGATTGTTTAAAACACTAGCACTCGAGCTTCATCACATTCACAAGATCATTCACAATTCACACGTATACGCCTCATTTCACTGCACCACATGTTCTCGCGAAAGACGCGATTAATCTAAACAACGTATCTCGTACTACGTCACTTCACATTCATCACTCACTTCACATCTCATCAATAGAACAATTCGCGACACCAGTTTGTGATCGCACACACTCGTAAATTTCGTCACGTACTGACGAGGCGGGCGGGATGTTCGAAATTAAAACTATCATTCTAGTTCAAAAATCGCATAGCGAAATCTACATGTTTTCGCTAATAAATAATCGAGAATTCAAAATTAACGGGCGAATCTTCTCGAAATATCTGTTTGTTGGAAAAAAACTCGAACGCTCGAGTTATCTCGTTTTTTTTCCACCAGAAAAAACGCTCGTTGTTACCGCAGATTATTGTCAACCGCCGTTAAGATTTGCGCCGCTCATGGGCATGCGCGCCCATGCGTCACGATCAGCTGATCGCCAATCAGCTGATCTGAAAAGATTGCGCGCATGAAAAATAAATTGTGTACGACACGAGGCGTCATTACCAACCAATGACACACGCCGCAATAGTGTCACCGCCAAATTATCAAATTAATTGGTCCACGTCGACGAGGGCCCAAAAATCCGCTCGCTTTATAACGGGCGCCGCGCGTGGACCAAAGAAAGTCTCGCACTTATCGCTGCTCGCAGTACGTTTAAAACCGCTTAGAAAACCGCCTTGTTCAACCGCAAACTACATCGACCGCTTTGTTTCTCGGACTTCTCTGTACGATTTCGGTATCTGAAATTCATGTTCATTTGCTTTATTGTATAAATTGTTAATAGTGTGGTGTTAAAATAAACAACCTCAAAAAAAAACCAAAAAGAATTACGTGTCGTGGCAAGTCTTTTATATCAAATTATCTGCTCGCGGTCATCCATCTGCCGCGTTATCAAACCCTTGCGCTGCCGCAGCAATCCGCGCTCACTCGCGAACATTTCTTAATTTTAATACTAATGTCTAACGCAATGGTATTGAGATTATAGAATCGTTATATGTATAACTTCCCTTATATTTTAGAAAAGATTTAGAAATATAACTCAATTTAGATAAAATAATCAAATTTAAGTTACAGCATATAAAGGAAATTATTTACACTGGTTGTGAATTAATAATGAGTTTAAATAAAGCATTTCAAAGAGTTAAAATGGTTTGGTAGTTATTCATTTAAAATTATTCTAATAATTTCCTTGAAATACCTTATTTACGTAATTATCTATTTTGGTCGCATTTGTTTAAATCTAATTTTTTAAATTTAATATGTATAAAAGTCCTTATTATGTATTGATTAAGAGGTACATAGTTAATTAGCAGGTTAAATAACCGTGTATAATAGGAACGGTAAGCAAGTGTTGAATGTTATAATTCATATATTAAAATTAAAATCTATAGTAATAATGAATAAATTCGGATTATAATTAATGAAATTGAATATTCGTTCTTACTCCGTGGTTATAATAAAGAAGCAAGATGGATAAGCGAATAGTAACTAAATCTAGTAATTTTTAAAATGGCGGGACGTCACACCTCCCCCCTTATTTAAGAACAAATTCCGATGTGCTCGTAGGAATTTGTTCTAGGGTTCTTAATCGATCCCTTAGGGGGAATTCATCCCTCTGGTATGAATCAAGTTCAGAGGTTGAGGACACTGGCTCGACAATAACATCGGTGGATTTGCTTCTTCCTGTAGTCTCTTTTGTCGTTAATTTTTCAGGTGCGTTTGGAGTCGGCGGTTGGTGTTTCGCTGGTTTGGACGCTATCCTTTTTGTTGACGGGTCCATGTGCAAGGTGTAATAGTAAATGTGTGACAGAACTCCAGATGGCTCCGAGTAAATGCATGCTGCATCCGTATGCTGTATGTAAGGCGTATCCGTGGATAGTTGTATCGACCACAAGTTTAATAATGCGGACGATTAGCAGGATGCCAAATATTCCAGCGGTTGCGGAGCCGAAGGTGACAAACCCTTTCCATACTCGGGAAGCGGTATTATCGACTATTTTGTTGAGCGAGGCTTCGTCCAGTAGGCTGTACATAGAGATAGAATCTCCGTTGATGGAATGGCCGGTAAGTCCTCTGACAACAGTATTGAGGAGGGCAGGTTTCTCTGCGGGAAACATAATGTGGTCTCTCAACTTTTCTATATCCTTTTCAGAATATATTCCACTGATAGCGAGCGGTCCTGGCGTTAAGTATTTCCAGGATAGAGTTGTCATGGGTTGCAGTTGCTGCGGGGCTGCTTGCCTGACTTGCGCATCAGGTGTGAATTGCACCCAGATGTCTTCAATACGGTACATGGTGGGTAGTTCATAACTACATTCACGTTGATTCCCAAATTTAGTGATTATTCGGGATTTGGGAGTTAAGAAGAACGAGGAGTTACGTACAGTTACAGGTAACTCGGCATAACATTCTTTAGTTTTTCTCACTATAACGTCCACAGGTATGCATTTAATGATTTGTATAGCTTCTCCAGTTGTTACTGCCATGTAGCCTGGTCCCTTCATTAATTGATATGCGAATTCATCTGGTTGAAGAGTGGCAAATGACAAGGCATTAGTTATAACCTGTCTTTCTAGTTCGCATTTCTGTTGCATAACATTGTGATACAAGGAGGTCATCTGATGGCGAACATGTTTTTCTACGTATACAAATTTTGAATTCATATAAGCGAAGATGTCTAAATTGTCCACTGGGATGATACCTCGATGGAAGAACGTACTTTCTTCCTTTGTTTCGAGAATGAATAATTTTGGATGTTCCGTGCCCAGTAGGGTGTATCCACATAAAGATTGTTCTCTGGTTTTAGTGAGGGCAAAGGTAATATCTTGCGTCGTTAAGCTGTAGACGACTAGTGATGAGGGGTCGGTCACATCATCTTTAATTACCGTTGCTGGGCCTTCGTAGAGGACATCATATTGGTGAAAATTGCAAGATGATGTAGGCACAGGTTTCCAGTAAGTATATCCATCATCTGAGTCAATACAGAAGCTTTCGCTGAACGTACATACAGTTCCGGATTTTAATATTATTTTTCCGGAATTTAATTGCACAGGGACGTGTGAGGATTTCATGGATATTTTGACTGAAGCTTGGACCACGACGTCGTCCCAGATTCCGTAGGGGTCAGAATACTGAGTGCCCTTACAGCCTTCCATCATGGCCTATCCGGCCACCTAGGATGAGACTGCGATGAGTGGTCTGGTTAGTCTTCAATCCATACACGAGGTTTCCGGCTCCTAGGGAAAGCGTTCCATCTTGGAACATTCTTAAACACTGCGTGTATCCAGTTTCGTGGATATAGTCCGCTCTTCCGTTCTGGACTACGGAGACATGTGAGTGCATTCCGCAGTGGTAAATTGTTCGAGATATTTCAACTTTACACTGAATAACTTCCGCATGATTAAGCCTCGTCTACAATAGTCGCAAGCTTTGTCTACAATAGTCGCAAAGGCTGTGTCGCATGTCGCAAGAGAATGTCGTAGGCTATCGCAGTCGCAAGAACCCTTGTCGCGCAGAGTTGAACCAACTTCAACTTTCTGCGACTGCGACAAGCATGTCGCATGAAATCAGCCAATCACAGCACAAGGCGTTAGTTTAACGATTTTGCGTGACGTTTTTTTTGACGCTAGCGGATCCGTTTATTTTGCTTTTTGTTAATTTTCATTTAAAAATGAGTGAACTGGAATTGGAGGAGTATCTCAGTGACAGAGAGATAATAGCTTTTGTTCGTTCAAATCCCCTGTTGTGGCAGAAGCGTATTAAAATTGATAAGAAGCACAAGGATATCATCAATCAAACGTTTTCGCAGATCGGCTCTCTATTATCAAAGCCATTGACAGGTGAGGAAATATTTGTTAAGAATATATTGCTAAGTTCTACTCTTTTATCCTAGTGTGTACAATGTCAGTAACTATTGTCTATTAACTATTGATCTATCGACTATTAGTGAGGTTATCTATGTCTAGTGTTTGACCACTTCAAAATCACAAAGCATTTATGCAGGTGATGCAGTTTCAACTCGATGGAAGAATCTTCGAGATCAGTATTCAAGGGAAATGCGCAAGGTAACTGTCAGTCAACCCCGTTCTGGTGCTGGAAATGAAGAACTGTCCTACAAGCCAACGTGGCTTCTTTTCAGTGAACTGTCATTTCTTAAGGATGTTATCAAACCTAGAAGGTAAATACACTCAAATTATTGACTCTTGACTTGGTTTAATCGTATATCTGAATTTTCTTAACATTAGTATTTATCTTTGCAGGACACAATCGAATGTCAGCAGAAAAAAGTTGAAATTATGTGAAGACACAAAAATCAATGATCCTGTTCAAATTGTCATTCCGTCATCTATCAAACGCACTCCTAAAAACACTGAAGCAGTTATGTGGAGAGATAGTAATAGAGGAAAAGACCAAATAATAGAGGAAAGCCAAATAGCAGAAGAATACCAAGTAATAGAAGAAAATCAAATAATAGAAGAAAATCAAATAATAGAAGAAAGCCAAGCAGTAGAAGAAAGTCAAGTAGTAGAAGAAAGCCAAGAAATAGAAGAAAGCCAAGAAGTAGAAGAAAGCCAATTAACAGAAGAAAATTTCTATCTATGGAATACACAAGAAGATACTTTCAAAAAAACAAATACAGCAGCTGCTGTACCATTTGACGATGATGTAGTTTCAATATACTCATCAAACATGTCAACTATTGAGAGTCAGTCGTCCACTGTTCC